CTTTCCCCTGCCTTTCTCCTGAACACCCACTGCCTTTGTCTCCTTATCGGAACATTCTCTGGACTTCTGCCTGAATTAATGACTCCCAAATAGTTCTTCTTGTTGATCTCAGTAAATGCTTGTTGCCTCTTACTTAGGGCTTTATGTTTTTTTAGATTAACAGCATCATAGAATCTGTTGCATCATCCCCATAAAAATTGTGATTTTTTGTCTAGACAGCACTATTGCTTTTAGTCCTCTCTCCTCCCCCCACTACCCACCCACCCCACACACGAAAAATTCTTATCACTTCATGAGGTTTACTGCATCAATGATAAAGAACCAGGAACAAGAAGGGTGCATCAGGACTTGGTACTGGATGGTTGGCTGGACTCACTCATTAGCTGGGTGACTCGCCCGAGCGCCCAGCCTAGGACACCGATGCTCAGCAGAAGTATAGTTAACTACATAAGGCACATAGCTGGGGCCACTAGCTGACACCACAAAATCAAACTTAACAATGCCAAGAGTCCGTGTGTTATGAGACACAAGACCCAAAAGTGTGTGCGTCCGCTTATGTTTTTGTAAAAGAAATAATTAAAGTTGCATCACAAGATGTTTCTCCAGTTAGACTTACGAGCAAGGATAAGCAGCCCTTGAGTGCACAAGACAGGAAGTGGGTGTGCTGGAGGGAAGCCCCGGGCTAACACGCAGGCTTTCACGACTGCCGACACTCAGGTCCAGCAGCACCCTGGAGAAATGCCACAGCTTTCCTCGACCTCCTAATCCTCTCGGCTACTTATTCATTTTTCAAAATAAAAAATGATACACTCATGACAATGATATCTCAAGAATATTTAGGAATTTTACCTCTGAGTCACTCTTTTCAACAATTCTTGTCCCATTATCACAGTTGAATATGCACCTGACTATTTAGCCTGATAAACAGTAAAGGTCTTGAACAGAGAAAAGTCAACTCAGTCATTCTGGTGTCTCTAGTACAATGCACAGTACGTAGCAGATGATCCATAAACATTCATTTCTATTAGCTGAATTGAATTGTAACTAATAGTGATAAAGCAAATAGAAACCAACAGCATCAGCTCTGAGAAGGTAATACGAGGGCAGAAATGTCTCGTAGGTTTTAGGAAGCAAACACTTTACCCAAAAACTTATTCTATGGGTAAAAATCTCATTACGGCAACCTCTACTGTATCTCCATTATGTTTATCTTCTTTAAAAATAATAAGTACATTCCAAGAACAAGAGTCCTCGTCTCCAGGACCAGGAGGGAATGCTGTCTTTCGACGGTGAGGAAGCAGACAGGAGCGAAGGCGGTCAGGGGGAGAAGGTGCCATCCTGACACAGCTCGCCCATCTCGGCCTTCCTGAGGGGTGCCCGGGGCGTGTGACCACCCTGAGTGCACAGACAGATGAGCACGTGGAGAGCAGAGAGGGCGCTGTTACGTGACAGCAGAGGACTCTGGGTGGGCACAGCCGTAGCTACGGCGAGTCTCTCCTCTCTACACAGAAAACTGCATGTTGGAAAGAAGACCGTGACTTAAGAGGGCCGTGGGTTGGACACGAACCAGAGAAGGCATTAGTTACATTAGGCTTTTGATCATAATGAATATGTTGAAATTGGAGCAAAATATACATTTACTAAAGGTCATCAGCTCTCACAAGGAAATTGTGCTGAATATTTATTCACTTCAATGAGATACATCAAAAAGGGATTTTACTTGTACACGACATTCCAAAATCTAGCTCCATCATTACCAAGAGGCAGGCGTGGTCCTTTTCTAGGCAAAGGAAGAGAATTATACGGTCAAAGCTTTCTTATAAAACTGCATTTAGCCAGAGTCTTATAAGATCTTGGCTCTGAAATATGGCTGTCTGTTTAGAGGAAAAGGAATATGGTCCAAGCCACTGGCCACGGGTAGGAGCCCAGTGTTCTGGTTAGAGTTGCTGGTCTGAGGTCAATTCTCTGGAAGGTTCTTAGTTGTTTGGACCCCGCTTGAATCGTTTTTACTATTCTTTTTGTCCTTACTGAACATACAATGGATTAAATAACTAACTTACATCATTTGAAAAGGTGTGTTCAATGCAAAAACTTCAAAAACACAGTGAGAAAAAAGAAATTTAAAATAGCCTCTAATACCCACTGCTATGTCCTACCTCTCCCACTCAGTAAACCCTGTTAATGCTTTTATTTTTAAATAGAAAGCAGTGAAAGCGGTAGGGCCGAACCTACCTGAAATTGTTGCAGCCGAGGACGACTCCAACGATGTTCTTGCCTATGTCGTGCACATCGCCTTTGACGGTGGCCAGCACGATGGTGCCTTGGTACGGGTCCTGCGGAGTAAGCCGAACCGCTAAGCACCGCTGTGGTCATTTGGGAGCGGATCACTTAGTTCTCTAGAGCCAGGCTGGTGTTGCCACAGAAAGCGATGTTACACCACTAAGACGACCTCAAAGACAGCCCCAGAGCCCAAGTCATGCGCTCCGCAAGCAGGAAGCTGTAGGCCTGAGCGGTTTAAAGGCGGCCCGCCCGCTCGGTCGGTCGGCCGGCTCAGGGAGCTTCAACCTGGACCGTGGGTTCCAGCACCTCGAAGCAGCGTGGGTTCAAACATAAACCAGCTCCACAGCTTAAGGCCGCAGCAGTAACACCAAACTGTCTGAGGGGTTAATGTGCGGGCCCCACACAAAAGGCATTTGCTCGTCTTGTTTCTTCAACACCGCTGTTCTAGGCACCCGCGGCGTCCCCTCCCTCAGGAAAAGCGGGGAGGGGATGCGAGGCAAGAGAGATATTTATAAACATATGTCTGAGCCATTCCAAACTCAGATCAATTTGAGAGTTCAGGGTCCTCGGGGCTGAAGCTGACTGAGCTTCACAGGGAGCTAAACGTGTTTACTGCGGTGCTGCGGCCAAGGACGGAACTGAAGCCAGCAGCGGTGCCGGGGCCCTGCTGGTGTAGACAGGATTCAGTTACCAGGTTTTCCAAAACCAAACATTACTCAATTACCTCAAGGGTAGGGACTGGGCTTTGCAGCTACGGTGTCTCGCACAGTAACTGGCACATAGTAGGAGCTCTGTAATGGGTGACAGGTGAATGAAGTGCTTTTGTCTTGAAATCATGGGTTTTGTTTAAAATTTATGTTTGAATTAAAAATGTCATGAATCCACATTCAAAGATAAACTCTAGGGTATTCCGATACTTGGTGAAAGAATTAGATCATTTATCTATTTTACCTTTGACAGCAAACACAGCCAAGCCCCTGGGTCCCTACCACACCCACGTAAGTCTTCAAGGCCAGCTCCTCGCAGGGACCACGAGCCTGTACGGATGACTTGCCTCTTCTTCTACTGTGCCAGTAAGCACTTTGGCTTCTTCTCTTTCCTTTTCCATAAAGGGAATAAGGTGGCTAACGGCCTTCTTCATGACCCGAGCTGACTTTATGACCTGGGAAAAACACACAGAGTCAGACATCTTGACCAAACCACCTAAATATTTGCTAACGGCTGCTTGTAAAATTTTAGCACGAATTAAGAATGCATGCTTTGACTCAGGTCAGCCACACTGCAGTCCGCTTTTCACAGGGCAGGGTAAGGAGGGAGCTCCTCATGGGGAAAGCCAGTGAACGAGGCACAGCAGAAGGAAAACAAGCCTAGAAATCAAATAGTGCAATTTCTGTCCTCTGAACTTCTGCACTTTATCTTTTCTCTGCCTAGAAGGCCCCCCATCACTTCTCCACCATGAGCCCCTTCTCAGCCTTCTCCTCGATCCCCAGCATTGAAATTCACTTAGAGTTAAGGTCTATGCTTAAGCAAGAACAGAACCTTTTAGGAAATCTACCAATGACGCTGAAATTCATAGCTGGGAGTGTGATGAGAAACGGGTTATTTGCACAGTGTCAAAGTTTCTCCCCACAAGTAAATTTACAGTGGAGAAACCTAGCAGATGTCATTAACCAAGCGATCCAAGTTCATACCACCAGTAGAGACAGAGTGACATCATGGGCCTCCTGACATATCCCACTGAGAAGGGCACAGCATCACTGTTATTCTTGCCAAATGAGGAAACATCAGACAACTCAAAGAGGCAATCTACATAATGATTGCACTGGACTCATCAAAAGTCAAGGTCGTAAGAGGAATGGTTAGAAAAGGCAGGATAAAAGCAATGTGGGATCCTGGGACAAAAGAAAACAGTGGTGACACCACCGGTGAGATCAGAACAGGTCTCTATCCTGTGTGAGTTTCCTGGTTCTGACCACGGCACTGCAGTCAGGCAGGACCGTTACCGTGGAGGGCGGGGGCGGGCGGGGGAGCTGGGTGAGGAACACACGCGCACACACATTTTAAATTACATCTGCAGCGTGTCTGTAAGTCTAAAGTTAACTCAAAAATGAAAAGTTTAAAAAAGTAGCCATCATGAAAAACAAAGACTGAAGAAGTGTCACAGATTGGAGGAGACCAAGCAGGCAGGACAGCTGCATGTTCCTCGTCCCAAGCGGGGGTGAGATGGTGAAGGTGTCACGTTAAACTGATCAAACCGAGTCCTCTAATAGGTGCAGTTGAGTGTGTGTTAATTATAAAACAATAAAGCTGTTTAAAAAGTATAAACATCATGAAAGGGAATGCACGAGTAGCAATTAAACGGGGGTGAGATGGTGAAGGTGTCACGTTAAACTGACCAAACCGAGTCCTCTAATAGGCGCAGTTGAGTGTGTGTTAATTACAAAACAATAAAGCTGTTTAAAAAGTATAAATATCATGAAAGGGAATGCACGAGTAACAATTAAATATAGAATACCTAAAAAAAAAAAAAAAAGAACGGGGCCTTTTCGTTTTTTGTAGGCCTCACAGCCCCAAACCCAGAGGGCTCAGCAAGTATCTGTTAACTGATGGGGACAGATTCTGCTACTGTAAATCAACGAGAGTTCTGGTTTTACTCAAAACACATCATTTAATGCATATCACTATTTAAAATGGTAATGATTTTTTCAAAATGTGCATCCTAAAGGTGAATATTGGCTGGTCAAATCAAACATTACTAACATTAACTTCACATTAGCCTTGGGTTGCATTTCAGTCTGTGAGGAAGCAGGTTGCTGTTGGGGATAAGAGGCAGAGTCCAGATCGGGACGTGAGGATTAGACGCGAAGAATTTCCAGGTGACCTCTCACTTCCACGTCACCCTAAAGATGGGATTTTCTAGACGCTACTCCTGAGTATACTTGGAGAAAGCACGACCAGCTCTCAATGCCCGAGCTCTTGTCAAAATTAAAACCTGAGAGATATACCCAAACTTACTATTTATTAAAAGACAAAAACTTTTCTTTCACTTGTGAAAATTCCCCCCCAATCTTTTGCCAACCTGAGGTAGAAACATTTTTCCAGCTCCAAAAAGATCGCCAACAACTTTCATGCCGTTCATCAGGGGCCCTTCGATTATGTTCAGAGGTCGGGGGTACTTTTCCTGGTTTAACCTGGCTTCCTCAGTATCCTCAATAACATATTTTTCAATGCCCTACAAAAAAAAATGGGAAAAAAAAATCACATGAAACATTGGCTTAAGTCCAAATGGCTAACAAAGAACACATCGCGGAAATGCTTAGCAGTGCAGGTTTTGGAATCAGACTGCAATGGGTTCAAATCCTGGCTCCTATCACCAATTCTGGGAATTCATTATGCCTCAGCAGCCTGAATCACCATAACACACAGTACCTGCCTCATGACTGATTATGTTTAGGATTAAGTGCAACACCTACGTAAAGTGCTTAGGGGCTTATGGACACTAAGTACTCAGCAGAGTGAGCTATGAGTGACAGAGGAAGTACTGATAAGTGCAAATTTATAATAAAACAGGCTTTTTAGCCTAGTGGTTTAACAGACTGAACACTGATAAATGTCTCCTGTGAAACCAGCACGTCTTCCCACTGCGGTGTTGGGGGCTGGGAGGGAAGACCACGGGCGGGGCCCACAGGCGAGTTCAAAGCCACGGAGCCCCACAACTCTTCTGCTTTCAGGGATCAAGCCCTGTCCTCCAGAGGCCCCAGTTCAAGGGTCCCTGGATGTGGCAGACTCATTCCGCAGCCCGGACTATGTGAATCTCAAGAAGTTGTAAGTTAAATTCTCAAGTCAAAAATAAAAGAACAACTCTGAAATTCTCCAGACTCACAAAGGAGGACACTGAAGCCAAGAGATTATTTATCTTGCCTAAAATTCCAATTATGTGGAGAAGAGTCAGGAGGTGCTTGTTAATTGAACATCAGCAACTTAGTGAAGAAGAGCATTTCTCAAGCGCGACACTGCTGACATTTAGGGCTGAATAACTCTCTGTCATGTGGGCCTGTCCCATGCGCCACAGGATGCTGAGCAGCATCCCTGGCCCCTGGATCTAGTATACCTCCTAACCCCAGAAGTGACAACCAAAATGTCTCTGGATGTGGCCAAGGGTGCCTGAGGTGGGGTAGGGAGAGAGGGGTTGGTCTAGGGGATCCCCTTTGCCAGCTGCTGCAACATCAGACGACTGGGGGAGCCTCGGCCCCCGAGCCCCCCGCGCAGCGGACCTTCACGAGGAAGGGCCTCGACCCCCGAGCCCCCCGCGCGGCGGACCTTCACGAGGGCGTACTCCAGGCGTTCTTCGATCGAGCCATTCCTCCACTCGTCAGTCTGCACGGCCTTCTTCCCGCCTTTGCCATGAGTCTGAACAGAAATCAGGACAGAGAAACAGACATGACAGTTCCTTACTGAGCTACTGGGCAGCAAAAAAACAATGTCTTACTCTTATTTTATATTTCCAGCCCCTAGAACAGCATCCAGTCCAAATTAATATCTCAATAAATGTTTGAGAGATGGAGAAATCTTTTAGGATTTGAATTTTTAGTAGTGGGACAGAGTGAGGCTCCATGTTTTCTTTCCTAAAAGTTACATTAGGACAAAAGATCCCTGGGACAATTGGAGCAGCTCTATGCACATCCGACGAGCTTTTAAAGCTCTCCACGAGGACCATCACTACCCACAAGTAAGTGTGGAGGTGCTGCGATGAAGCTGTCACACGTCACCCTGGCGACCACTACGAGGAACGGGACATGGCCCGCGCTGCCCAGGACCTCGCTGTGTCATAAGGGGGGTGGAAGGTCAGCTGGAAGAGGAAGCAGGTGCCCAGGGCTACAGGAGCAGATGGCACAGGAGACTGGGGGTTTGGGGCGAGGAGAGATCACCACAGACTGGGGTAAGGACAGGCTTCAGAGAAGCTGGGACTCGGCAAAGGGACAAAGCGCAATGATCGTGGTGCAGAGCCCAACTGTAGTATCACCGTATCTGTTTCCTCCAGTTGCTCAAACCAGAAATCTAAGTATCATTCTTATAACGACTGTTTGGAACTCTGCATCTGGCAGATTGCTTGCCTCCATTTCGTTTAGTTCTTTTTCTGGAGAACTGTTCGTTCATTTATGACATGTTTTTTTGTTGCTGTTTCCTCATTTTGGCTGCCTGTCTTTATTCCTATGCATGAGGTAGATCTGCTACGTCTCCCAGTCTTGGCAGGGTGGCCTTATGTAGCAGGTGTCCTGTGGGGCCCAGTGGCAAAGTCTCCCCTGGTCACCTGAGCCGGATACTCCAGGAGTGTCCCTCATGTGGGTCGTGTGTGCCCTCCTGTCGTAGTTGAGCCTTGCTTGCTGTTGGCACGTCAGGGGTTGCGGCTGTCACTCAGGCTGACCAGCTGTGAGGACTGGCCGTGACCATAGTGTACGAGCCGCTGTGCGGAGCCGACCTCACAGAACGGGATTTGCCCAGCGGGTGCTGGAGCCTTCAGAGACCCCCTTCTGGACACGCCGCTCGTGGGGCTAACCGGCACGCTGGGCTCTGCTGCGGTCTGAAGCCGGCCAGCAGGTGTGCTAGTTATGGGGCCCCTGGAAGGGGCTCCTGCACAGGCCAGGGTCAGCCGCTGTCTGTGACTGGTCCAGGCTGAGCATCGTCCCTGAATGCCCACTCGCTCCTCACGGTCACTCAGTCACCAAGCCCTAATGCTTACACCTCCTCGGTATTTCTCTCCATCCATTTTCCACTTTCTCAGTCCAAGCCACTAACTGGTCTCCGCAGCCCGGAACCCCGCAGATCTCCCCGCATGTTCTGCACGGTGGCCAGAGGGACCTGCCAACGTGCACACTGGTCACAACGCCGTGTGAAGAAACTTAGCAGAAGTTCCCTGCCGCTCTCAGGGTGAAGCACGACTCCCTTCTGTGCCACACACTGCCCCGATCCCGCTTCCTCCCTAGCGCCCCCTTCCGCTGTCCCCTGACGCTGCCCCGATCCGGCTTCCTCCCTAGCGCCCCCTTCCGCTGTCCCCTGACGCTGCCCCGATCCCGCTTCCTCCCTAGCGCCCCCTTCCGCTGTCCCCTGACGCTACCCCGATCCCGCTTCCTCCCTAGCGCCCCCTTCCGCTGTCCCCTGACGCTGCCCCGATCCCGCTTCCTCCCTAGCGCCCCCTTCCGCTGTCCCCTGACGCTGCCCCGAGCCGGCTTCCTCCCTAGCGCCCCCTTCCGCTGTCCCCTGACGCTGCCCCGAGCCGGCTTCCTCCCTAGCGCCCCCTTCCGCTGTCCCCTGACGCTACCCCGATCCGGCTTCCTCCCTAGCGTCCCCTTCCGCTGTCCCCTGACGCTGCCCCGAGCCGGCTTCCTCCCTAGCGTCCTCTTCCGCTGTCCCCTACAAGCTCAGCTACTCTCATCATTCCAGTTCCTTCCATCTCTTCACCTCTGGGCCTTCGCATTCTTTCACCTGACACACAATGCCGGGCCCCAGCTAGATACACGTGTGCATCCCCTGGCGGGGACCGGCAGCACCGCCCTCCAACGCCAAGCCTCTGCCCAGCTAACTCCTGCTCAGCTTCAGGTATCTTCCGACCTCCTCCACTGCTGGGCTCAGCGTCCCTCCTGAGCATTGCACAGTGTCCTGTCCATCCCGTCATGGCACTTACAAAGCATTACAACTGCCTGGGGACATTTCTGTGTGGCTCATGAAACTGTGGGCTCTGCAGCAAACATCCCTCCGACTAGCGAGGTCCTCTAAATTCAGTAAAGCACAAGCGCAAAACGAACAAATCCGGGTTTTTCTGGAGCAATGTTTTTGCAGAATATTTGAGGCCAAATCACAGAGCACCAGAAATCCAGGCGATGAAAGTCTGAATTTAACCCTCCAGGCGACTGAGGGGTTTGGGGCGGGAGGACAGCACTAGCCAAAGCTCTGAAGCTGCACCATTACATTCAAAGTAGCATTTTTAAAGAGAACCTCAGAAGTGGGGGAATGTTTTGCAGCCCACGATAAAGGCCTGGACTACAGTGGTGGTAACGGGAAGGGAAAAAGGACTCACAGGAAGGTGTAAGTAACAAGGTGCAGGAAGAGAAGGAAGGACTGGGGAGAACTCCAGGATTCGGGGTTCGGGCAGTAACTGAGGCAACGACCCACTGGGCCTCCTCCCTCACACACCGAAAAGCCTGAAGGGCTTGGCCAGTGAAAGGAATTATCTGCGACATTATTCACAATAGCCAGGACGTGGAAGTGTCCATCAACGGATAAATGGATAAAGAAGATGTTATTCATATATACAACGGAATATCAGCCATAAAGAAAGGAACCTTGACATTTGTGACAACAAGGATGGACCTCAAGGGCATTACGCTAAATGAAATAAGTCAAACAGAGAAAGACAATTACTATATGATCTCACTTATATGTGGAATCTAAAAAAATAATGAATTCACAGAGACGGAGAACAGATCACTGGTCGCCAGAGGTGGGGGTGGGAGGTAGGTAAATGGGGGTAAGGGAGAGAGGAGGGGAGGGAGGGAGGGAGGAAAAGGAAGGCCTTCTGAAGCACACATTCACATCACCTGGTACATGGAAACACCACTTGTCCCATCAGCCACACGATCAGGCAATGCCTGCCTGTGGGATGGAGTCTGACATGTAAAAACAGGGCAGAGTGTTCCAAACACTCTTGGGAAAAGGACTTGGTGTGTTCACAGAAAACCAGTGTCCAGCACATACAGTGTGGGGAGGGTCCATATGTGTGTGCATATGAGCAGTGACAAATGAGGACACGGTGAAGGCCGGTGAAGGTCCCAGTAATGAGCTGGGGCTGCGGTGAGTGGACACGACACCACTCAAAAAGGTACAAACTTCTGGTTATAAAATAAATAAGCCCTAGGAGTGTCACGTAAAGCATGGCGACTAAGTTAATAATACTGTGTTGCACAACTGAAAGTGGCTAAGAGCTTAGACCTTAAAGGACCTCGGCGTAAGAACGACAAATCTGTAACTACGTGGAGAGATGGATGTTAACCAGACTTACTGTGGTGATCACCTCACAATATGCACAAATATCAAACCATTATGTTGTGCACCTGAAACTCAGGTAATGTTACATGTTAATTATATCTCAATTAAAAAAGTAAAAATCACAAAAAAATACAAAATTTTTAGGTTATACTCTCTGACCTTTATTAAAGGGGGAAAAAAATCACGAAACTAGAGCCGTGTGGCACTGTAAAAAGGAAGGGAAAGGAAGAGAAGGAGGGAGGGAGGGAG